GAATATAATCAAGAACGACGGAGCCGCACTGGATGACAACGCAAAAGCCAGGCTGATAGTATCCCGGCTCGACCAGAAGACACATGCCCGTCTCGCAAACACAATCGCTCCTAAGAAGATCGAAGACATGGACTTACAAACGACAAAAGCGACTTTATTGAAGCTATTTGGATGCCGTAAGCCAGTTTTCACACGCCGATACGAGTGTATGAGGATGAAATATCATTCATCGATGCCATTATCGGACTTCGTCGCAGAAGTCAACCGGAACGTGGAAAACGCAGAATTTGCTGCTATGACTGGTGAGCAGTTCAAGTGCTTAATTTTCGTAAGCGCTCTAGAAGATGACGATTGTGTTGCACTACGAACCCATGTACTGAAGAAAATGAAGGCCGAACCGGACACAACTCTGATGGATCTACTGGAAGAGTGCAACGACTACTCGGAATTGCAGTCTCACATTGAAATGATCGGCAAAGCCAAGGTACCACAGGTCCATGCAATTCAGAGGGATGAAAATCCGCAAGTCAACGCGATGCAGCGAGGCGAAAAGCGGAAATCGTCCACTGATCAGAAGCCCAAAGCAGATTTACTTTGTATGAACTGCGGAGCAAGGACCCACAGGACCAGAAGATGCGAGAAGCCGATACATGAATGCAACTATTGCAAGAAACGCGGACATCTAGAAAAATATTGTCTGCGTAAACTGTTTGTCGATGACGCCAAGGACGTCCGTCACGTCGCCACCTCACCACCTAAGGAGACTAAAGCCTACCGCAACGTGAAAATCAACGGTATGAATATCAAGATGCGACTAGATTGTGGAGCAGAAGTCACTCTTATCGATCGCGACACATGGATCAAGATTGGCCGACCGAAACTAGAAGAACCCAAACATAATCTGATTGCTGCCAATGGGACCAGCATCAAATGCCATGGACAATGCACATGTGAATACGTGCTAAATGGCATCACTGTAAAAGGCACAGCATATGTCGTTGATGGACCACCTCTACTCGGGATGGACTGGATTCGAAGCGACCGTGCTCTCTACAATATGATCATCGGCTGTTACGATGCCAATACAGTGGCATCCACGGAAGATACACTTGACAAGGAGAGAACTCAACTGACAACGATGCTGCAGGAAAAGTTCGCGGAAGTGTTTCAACCCGGCTTAGGACATTGCACGAAAATGAAGGCGTCCCTCGTACTCAAAGAAGATACAAATAAGACATTTCGCAAAGCCCGACCAGTACCTATGCAACACTTCCTGCTGTCACCACCGAACTGGAACGACAAGTAAACATTGGAGTTCTTTCTCCAATTACTCATTCCGAATGGGCTGCACCTATCGTCTGCGTTAAGAAATCTAATGGAAAACTTCGTATTTGCGCCGACTTTTCAACTGGGCTGAACGACGCGTTAGAACCACACAAGTACCCGCTTCCTACCCCCGAAGATGTCTTCACTAAATTGAATGGTGGACGTTTCTTTACTACGCTCGATTTGATCGAAGCGTACTTACAAGTGGAAATTGACGACGATGCCAAGCGACTACTTCATTAACACTCATAAGGGACTCTTCCATTACAACCGATTACCTTTTGGAGTCAAGACAGCTCCCAGCATTTTCCAGCAGCTGATGGACACTATGATCGCAGATATAGCAGGAGTTGCTGCATACATGGATGACATAGTTATCACGGGATCGTCAATTCATGAACACACCAAACACCTCAATGCTGCTCTACACCGCGTCAAGGATTATGGATTTCGACTCAGAATCGAGAAATGCGCCTTTCTACAACGAAAAAATAAAATATCTTGGAATGGTCGTTGATGAAAACGGACGCCGACCGGATAAAGAGAAAATTTGTGCGATTGAATCGATGCCTGTCCCCCAAGACTTATCGCAGGTGCGTTCATTTCTCGGCATGATTAACTATTACGGAGCATTTGTCTCGGAGATGAGAACTATTCGGGCTCCTCTCGATAATTTACTTCAGAAGAATACCGAATTTAAGTGGACTGAGGAGTGTCAAAAGTCATTTGAACGAGCAAAAGCTATTCTTGCATCCGATTTATTGCTGACGCACTACAATCCATCCTTACCGATCATAGTAGCCGCCGATGCGTCCAATTACGGCATTGGAGCAGTCATCTTGCATCGTTTTCTAGACGGTTCCGAAAAGGCCATCTGTCATGCCAGTCGTACTCTCAACACATCACAGAAGAACTATAGTCAAATTGAAAAAGAGGCTCTTGGGCTAATCTTTGCTGTCACAAAATTTCACCGCTACATACATGGCCGTCACTTCATACTTTTGACTGACCACAAACCTCTTCTAGCCATCTTTGGAAACAAGAACGGAGTACCGGTGTACACTGCAAATCGACTGCAAAGATGGGCCACCCTCCTTTTGGGATACGACTTTGATATCCAGTACCGCAATACTGTGGATTTTGGACAAGCGGATGCTCTCTCCCGACTGATTGCAGCCCATCCAAAAGAACACGAAGACGTTGTCATCGCAGGGCTGGACGCCGAAATGCGAATTGACTTGCTGGATCACAGCCGTCAGTCACCGCTTACTATTCACGAAGTAGCTGCCGAAACAAAAGAAGATCCGTTACTTCAAAAAATTAAGTCATTTTTATTAACACACTGGCCGAAAATTTCCCGCGACGCTCAGGAATGGCCATTCTACAACCGAAGAGACCTACTATCAATCGCAGATGACTGTCTACTTATGGGAAACCGCCTAATCATTCCGAACAAGCTCCAACGAAGAGTACTGGACAGCTTGCACACTGCACATCCTGGAGTTGTTCGTATGAAGATGCTTGCCCGCAGTCACGTCTATTGGCCAAACATCGACCGAGATATCGAACTCCTCGTCCGCTCCTGCGATAATTGTGCTGCTGCTTCAAAAGACCCAATCAAGACGGACTTACATTCCTGGGAAGCTGCAACTAAACCGTGGAGTCGCATTCACGTCGACTTCGCTGGACCAATGAATGGACACACTTACATCGTTGTAGTGGACGCTTTCTCAAAATGGCCAGAAATCATCGAGATGCCCAACACTACGACTGGTGGAACGATCCACCAACTCAAGACACTGTTCAGTCGTTATGGAAATCCAGAAGTACTTGTGTCCGACAACGGTTCTCAGTTTACATCATTCGATTTCCACGCATTCTGTGACTCCTGAGGAATCAAACACGTTCGAACACCACCTTTTCATCCGCAGTCAAATGGACAAGTCGAAAGATTCGTTGACACCTTCAAACGCGCGCTTACCAAACTACAGAGGGAGGAGACGCCAGCCGATGCGCTACAAACCTTCCTAATGCACTATCGCAGCTCGCCAAGTCCGAACCTGAATGGCCATTCTCCGGCCGAAATGTTCATCGGACGTGGAATTCGCACAACTCTGGAATTACTACACCCGGCTAACGAGGAACGTGGTGCACGAGATAAAAAAATGGAGGAACAGTATAATCGTCACCATGGAACCACTGCTAGAGTCTTTACTCCAGGTCAACTCGTCTATGTGAAGGACTACCGAACAGTTAATAAAACTGCCTGGATTCCTGGAATAATTTGCAAGAAAATTGGCGATGTCACATACGAAGTAAAAGTTGATCCTGGAATCTGGATCCGGCACGCTGACCAGATCAAACCACGTGCATCTATGGACTCAACAGCTGAAGCCACAAATGATAGTTCTGACACGATTCCCTCAAAACCAGCAACATCTCCGCAGGCACAACTGGATCAGGGAGAAACCACCGCGACACTTTCAGCTATATCTCGCCCCACTCGAACCCGACGTCCACCAAGTCGTCTCATAGTAAACCCACGTACCGCTACTCACCATTATACTTAAAAGGGGAGGTGTTGTGCACCGCACAAAGAAAGTGTTGAAGAGAATGAAGAAGATACGACCTTCATGATGATAATTTTGATATCTCCTTTTTGGGTATAAATGATTCAGTTTTCATTTAGTAACATTCTTTTCTCTCAATCTGCTATTCCGAATAAACGACTATACTTATCGTCTTCATCACCGTCGTTATGGATCCAACAGTTATAGAGGTTCTTATACCCTAAATCAGGTGTATGTTTGGCAGAACATTACCATACAAGCTGAGCAAAAAACTAGGTGGGATCCCCGGGAAATCCCGCGAGAGATCACCTCTATTTTGCAAAGTCGTCTTTCTTTCCAGTTCGATTAGAACGTCTTAAAGTTGTGGTGAGGAACTACTTTGGACTGGGGTGTTTTCGACAAAGCAAATGGTTTGTGCAGATGTACGACTTCAGCTCGCGAACAACGGTCCATCGAAGATTTCGATATCTTGAGATTTTACAAATTTCTACTACAAACATGTTTAGCACTGCCATAGTATATCCTCAGTATGATTTTGCAGCATTTTCATAGTTTATGAGAAGATAAATGGCTTTGAATACGTCAGATGATCCCTTAAGGATCCCCACGCGAAACAGTGAAACAATCTTGTATGGAAATGTTCGGTCTTTTATTATACTCAAGTATAGGGAATGAGAACCTTCACAAGATAGATGTAAAAAGAACAATGCAGATATTTCGAGTAGCTAGATATGACGCGACCCCTCTTAGATCCCCTCCCCTTCCCCGCGCGGGTGCACGTGCATACAGGCCTCAATGACACTCTTGTCCAGTAAATTTTCACAAAGTGACAGACCGGCAACCCTTCAAATTTTTAGAAGACAAAGAGGTGGTGATTCGTGTAAGGCTCTCGAGGAACGGTCAAATTAGCTTTTAATATGTGGTGTGTATTATCCCCAAGAATTCTCGGTTATTATACATGCACTGCTGCTTGCTGGATGTTTTGTGTAGGTAGTTTTTTTTCTGAAGCTCAAAGATCGAAAGGCATTTTTTTAGTAACTGTCTGTTTTCAAGATAGTGGGACTTCTCCTTTAGAATGGTATAATCTTACTATGAAGACCTTACCGTGTCCAAGTTGCCAGCAGACGTGACCAGCAATAACGAGACTTTGAGGTGTATAAAGAAACTGCATGTAGACATAGATTAGTGCAGCTATGAGGTTTGCCATACAGATCGTGGAACATTGCAAGAAAAACTGAAATTCGGTTTGAAAAAATAAAAGTTCTTCTTTAAAAATGCAGTACCGATTTCTGTGTCCATGTTAAGCCGCTTCCTATTCTGGAATAGCGTAGAAGAACACGAGAGTACTGTATGTACAGGAGACAAGTGAGCACAACGACAAACAAATTGTTTGCTGTATGTGGATAATTTAGGAACTGAAAACTATCTTAGTGATAAGCATTTTCGAAATATAGGTTTGTAGAATCAAAAGAAAGCTTTTGCACTCTGGGAAGTTAGAGAAAGTAACCACGCGTGAACTCAGTTTATTATTTACTTACTTAGATACTTAGATGGCCCTGCTTCACGTGACGTGCGGGCCCCAGCAAAGAAGTTTCCATTTGTCCCTGTCCCTCGCTTCGGTCATCCACGATCGTCTTGGTTGTCGCCGGCGGCTGCGTTTACGAGATCCAGGTGCGATGATCGTATCCAGCTGATTTTTTAGCTGGTAATCCGTTCCACGAACACGTCTGCCCATCTCGTCGGTGATCTTCCTCGGGGACGTTTGGCTTCGCGAGGAATCTACTCAGATGTTCTTAGTGTCCATCTGTCGTTTATTCTTCTAATGATATGACCGGCCCATCGGTGTTTTACTTTCGCTACGTATTCCCCTGGGTCACGACATTCTTCTCATATCCGTACTGCGAAGTCCGACTGGATGTTGCTTGCGTCGAGTCATCTTCAGAAGACTGCGCTCGAGCGCTCTGTGGGTGGTCCGTAAAGCTTTCGACGTGGCTACAGTGTCAGCCCAAGTCTCAGCTGCGTAACAGAGCGCCGGGAGAACGGTTGAGTCGAACAGGTGGGTACGAAGCTCCGGGTCCGTCACTTGGTCGGTGGCTTCTTTCAAAGGCCCGAAGGCGGCCCAGGCTGCTCCAGGCGGACCAGACTTGCCTTCAGAGGCCCGAAGGCGGCCCAGACTATCCTGGCCTTGTAGGTGCAGAGCATAAGGCAGTCTCCATGGCGTGTCGTCCGGGCAGACGTGTCGTTTTTGTCTAATCCAAAAGGCGCCTTGAGGACTCTGACATCGTTTTTTTGCTACCACCCGGCGGCGTAGACGGGATCCGATAAACAGGGTTTATTTCATAACTTCTTGCTGACGGAGCAAGAGCAGACTTACTAGGCCTACTCTTGATTTCCACGGGGCGATCGCTGACCCGGGTGTAGAGCGGGGAGGGACCGCCTAGCGACCGGAAAACCAGACGGCGTTGGACCTGGCCTAGATTGAACTCAGTTTATTTATCCGATCAATTCTCTAGAAAACGTTTTCAATTATTTTTTCCGATTTGCGAAGTGGACGAAAAAGAAGACGGAAAATTCATTTCAACCTCAACAACGAACTTCAAAGTATCCACGACGCATACGACGGGACTAGCTTCTGCCCGCGCTTGTCAAAATAGGTTCCAGGAAGAATTTTGCGATTTTCTTGTTTTTACCACCCCCCCCCCCCTAAGAATCGTAGCCTAGAAAGGTCCAAGAATGATGAAAACATGGAATCAAAATTATGGGGTGGACGCAGATCTAACAAGGAAAGGATACTTGGTGACCGTGGCCTTTCGAAATGAAGCGTATACCATTAAATGCATCTTGATGCGCTAATTCCAAATCTGTCTTCGTTATCTGCTGTGCGCTTTTCTGAAAGAAGTTATGAACATTTTTTTCACCAGAATTTGCACTGTTTTTGATGCAGCACCAATATCGTTCGAATGTTCGCTTACGCACTACAAAAGAGCGTATAGATAAAGTAAAGCTTCACATTAAGCTCAAGAAAACTGTCACCGACACATCAAAGCCTAAAAAGCCTGATTATAGGGGCCTGCAGGATCGCGAGAGTCGGACGCGCGTACGGCCTTTGCGCCGCGCACGCCTGATATCGCTGGGTCGTAGTCGATTAAGGCTAGATAGGTAAGTTTTTTTGCTTTTTTTTTACATTTCACGCCTTCTTTTCTTTTCAGACGGTGAGCACATGTTGGTGCGGAGGAGTTTAAGACCTGAATTAAGGTGAGGTGCAGGATTATGCTCAATACGGACTCAATATTGCAGACCTTCCATGCCTGCTGGTTGAGATGTTGGATTTTCTGTCCTGGCTGCCCTGTTACAGCAAACTGTTCTATTTCTACCGTCTATTCTACCTTATCTTGCATATTGCTTGTGATGATGATGATGATGATGACAATGATTATGACTGTGATGACGCGCATGATGCAAGATGAGGTAGAACAGACGTTGCAAATAAAACGGAGTTTCGTAACCGGGCAGGAAGGACGAAAAATCGAACATAATCGGACAGCCAGAACAGAAAACTCAACATTCTTCAAAGCAGGGGTGAAAAGTCCACAATATTGGCCCGTATTGAGCATAATCCTGCACCTCACCTTAATCTAGATCTTAAACTCCTCTGCACCAACATATGTTCGCCGCCTGAAAAGAAAAGAAGGCGAGAAATGAGAAGAAAAACAAAAAAATCCCACCTATCCAGCCTAAATCGAGTACGACCCAGTGACATACGATGTGCGCGGCGCAATGGCCGTACGCACGTCCGACTCTCGCGATCCTGCAGGCCCCTATACCGACAATTTTGTCTGCCTAAAACTCGCAAAATCAATATGGAAAAAAATCCATAACTTCGTTTAGGGAGTCGCACAGCAGATAGTGATCAGAGAGCTAGAATCAGCGTTCCGAGGCGCACCTACTGGTATACATCTCATTGCAATAGGCCACGGTCACTAACAAGGAAAGGAAAGTTGGTCGAAATGGCCGTTCGAAATGAGATGTATACTGCCCTGTAGAGCTTGGAACGCTGATTCCAAATCTACCTTTGCTACCTGCTGCGGGATCCTGGGCGAGGAGTTATGAAGGTTTTTGTGAGTAAAAATCTGAATGCAAGAGTAGGCTAAAATCAGTCGTGACATTTTTCATAGGGCTTAATTGGTAGTCGGGTCACTCGGTGCAACAAATATTCCTAATTCAAATATACCAATTCGCTGCTGCCTCATTTGAACACTGGGAAAAGGTTACGACTGATTTTACCCTATTTCTGCATTCAGATTTTTACTCACAAAAACCTTCATAACTTCTCGCTCAGAAGCCCGCAGCAGGTAGCAAAGGTAGATTTGGAATCAGCGTTCCAAGCTCTACAAGGCAGTATACACCTCATTTTAAAAGGCCACTTCGACCAACCTTCCTTCCCTTGTAAGCATCCTTCCCTCGTAAGCCTCACACGTTTCCGTTTTGCTTTGGCTCAATAGCGCTGACAGCTGCACCATGTTGGAATATGAACAACATGAAGTAATGCATCTCATAATACCAAAATTCAGGATTCATACTACTCATTCCATTTATTTATACTGTTTCCGCATTTTGTAGTTTCCTAATGTTTTTGAACAATTTGTGTTAGTTCCAGGCAAGTCACTAGATCAAAACTCACATGTCCAGCAATATTCGCTTTGCTTTTGGCAAACGTGAAGAAGAACCATGCCGACTCATCGGAATTGAATAGGAGAGGAGGTGTAAAAAAGACAAAATACAAACTATACAGTATAGGAAGCAACAGCACCGCATATGTTCTATTACCGTCGAAGAGCTAAACTACGAGATTAAACTTGTGTGGTATTTGCGAAATACCTTTTGCTGTCATATGTTACAGAAAAATTGAAAGTAAGTTCTGATTTTAGTAGTACAGTAACTGTTCATGTAAATAATATTGCAATGCTTATAAATAGAGTTTAGGCTATCTACACTGTGAATTTTGGAAAAAGGCGTGTTTCTAAAAACCTGCCATTAGCATGAGTGCTCTGTTCCCTAGGTCCAGAAGACGATTTATGACCAACACAAAGCAAATCATGCATGCTCCACACCAAAGCCCTGAAATTGGGTAGTTGTAATGCAACCCAATGAATTTCGAATTTCATTTTACAATACGCATCGACTTTCAATTTATCACCCACCAAGAGCAATAGCACCAGCAACAAACATGAACGTTGGGTTTGTACAGTAATTTCCGCCAGTGAACCAAAAATATCCGGTCAGTAATGAGTTGAGCGATAAAGCTGCCATGTCGTAGACCCCTAGAAACCTTATTGCTTGCAGGATAAATGCACATAAATGCAGTCAAACCTAATACTATCATGATTTTGTAACACGATAAACGTCGATATTGTTTTTTCGCCATCACTGTCAAATCTAATATGTAAACGATCTGAAATGAAAGCTATGGGAATGGCGAGACTTCCAAGTATGAAAAATTCTAACCTCCGCAATAATTCCGTATGCAATGAATATCGTGCCCAGAACGTAGTCTTTCCGCCCGTATATCCTATCTTCTGATCTGAAACAAAAGATTTCCAAGATAAACATCTCAAAAATACCTGTGCTCCTTTAATCGTTCGAAAGAACTCGACAAACAAGGAGCTCTAAGTCTTAATCGCCAATCATTTCGTAAGTTACAAGTCTATGCACTAGGTTACTTTTTCTTCCCAGATTGAAAAAAACTGTAGACAAAAGGAGAAAATAGACTACCAACAAATCATGTGTGAGCTTTTGCAGTTCGTCCTGATGCGCTATGGCCTAATTCCGAAAAACGATTTTGAGTGTTTAAAAAAAGTAGACAACTAGTAGGCTTTTCGAAACATTTCAAGCCCCTCCTCTGTCAAAAAATCAAATTTTTTGGTGTCGCTTATAGGAAAGTATGACCGGAGAGATAAACTAAAAGATTTTTGATAACTCCATAACCTACAAATCTAAAAATTGGTTTCGAGTAAAAAACTTGTTTTATCTCACTTTATCCATATTTTAGCTTTAAAGTAGACATCTAAATGACTCCGACGAGGACTAATATCACTCCGGCGGCAGACTCAAGATCTTATTATTCTCTTAACTCATTTTGTTGGTATTAATCAATTTCATATTGAAAAAATTGAAAGCGGTAATCACCTGCAGTCGTAATCAGGTACCTTCTCTGCGTTTCCACCATATTTCATTAGCCACTCCATGGATCCTGAAAAATCGTTATTTTTAGTTATCTCTAACCATCATTTGTTGAAAGATGCAAGAAGTCGGAGTACGTTGTTTAGTTTTTGGATGTGAACCAAATTCTGTACAGCATTTATACTTGGTTTCGGTTCTATAATCTGCTTTTATGAAAAGTATGTCTACACAGTTTGAATCATCATTGAATCAATTACAGGTGTATCTAAGACTGGTCTGTTAGCTTGGTGGATACCTAACGTGAACCAGGCTGGCCTTGGACGCCCTCGAAATTCAACTTGTTCTTAGGGCGGTAGCATTCCCCAATGCTAAGCATCTGTACTAATACATCTTATATATAAAGCTGAATGTCTGTTTGTCTGTCTGTCTGTATGTCTGTCTGTATGTCTGTCTGTCTGTATGTATGTACGTATGTTCCGAATACAAATTTTTATCTCTGAACCGATCGGGACCAAACTTGGCACACATATACTTCAGGGCAGGGAGCGTGTCATAGGCTACTTTTCGTTATCGATCGATATCGATTTTATTGATTTTTTGCAAAATTCGAGCTAGAGGGCTGGGATTTGGCAGAGGGGGGTAATCGAGCATGCTGATCACCCCGAAGGGGTGATCAGCATGCTCGATTACCCCCCTGTGCAAAATCCTAGCCCCCTAGCTCAAATTTTGCAAAAAATCGGTAAAATCGACATCGATCGATAACGAAAAGTGGGCTGTGACACGCTCCCTGCCCCGAAGTGTATGTGTGCAAAGTTCGGTCCCAATCGGTTCAGAGATAAAAATTTCTATTCGGAACATACGTACACGGGTCTAGCTGGCAGGCCCGGCGGAGCCGGGCAAGCCAGCTAGTATAGCATAAAATAGTCTTATTAATTCAAGCTGATCTCATTTGCGGTCTTAATAACTGCATCTGTGTACTTAGGCTTGGAATGTGGAAGTGTGACAGGGACATTTTTTTCATTACTGATTATAAGTGTTGTATATGGCGCACCACGAGTGCATATATAAACATAAACATAAACAGTTTTTTGCAAAATTTCACTATTTGATTTCACGATTTTAGGGCATTTCATAGAAGAAATCAAAAAAAGCTGAATTAAAACTCTGTTTCCCCCTTGTTGGTATCACTGAAATCTACCCCTTGAAAATTAGTTGTGCACATTTGAATGGTTGCTTGATTATGGCAGTAATTTCTGTGGAAGAAATCATATATTCCCCGAGGGAAGCATAGTTTTAGAAAGGAAAAACTGTTTCGTATTCCAGCCTATACAACATTTCTAGTCCTTGAGATTTTTTCCTCAAAGGTTATTATCAGAACGGAAAGATGTTTCTGAAACCCTGGCATCAGAATAGGAAAAAATCGTTTTTGAGAAATGTCGTGAATCAGAAATTGCACATGTACTTCTCTCTTTCGAACAAAAGTCTATAAGGTCATGGCGTAGTACCGTCAATACAACAGGGGTGATACAGTGAATTGGCGAGGAATCATTGTAACTTATAAGGGAAGGAAGGTTGGTCAAAGTGGCCTTTCGAAATGAGGTGTACATTGCCTTGTAGAGCTTGGAACGCTGATTCCAAATCACCTTTGCTATCTGCTGCGGGCTTCTGGGCGTGGAGTTATGAAGGTTTATGTGAGTAAAAATCTGGATGCAAAAATAGGGTAAAATCAGTCGTAACCTTTTTTAATGTTCAAATAAGGCAGCAGCGATTTGGTACATTTAAATCAAGAATCGACTACCAATTTAGGCTTATAAAAGGTGCCACAACCGATTTTAGCCTACTCTTGCATTCAGATTTTTACTCACAAAAACCTTCATAACTCCATGCCCAGAAGCCCGCAGCAGATAGCAAAGGTAGATTTGGGATCAGTGTTCCAAGCTCTACAAGGCAGTATACATCTCATTTCAAAAGGCCACTTCGACCAACCTTCCTCTCCTTGTTAGAGGTCTTGTATCACTTGAAATGCTGAATCATCGAAGTTTAATGGTTATTGGAGAGAATTCAGAAAATTGTTTACAAGAACATCGCCTTTTCAGTTTATGACAGATGCTTAGAGGAGAACAGAGCACGAACAAGCCAGGCATCGCAGCATTCATGAAGTATTTATTCTCTTCTACAATAAACTAATTGGAATAACATTTATAATCGTTCATTCATGCCTTTCGTAGTCTTTATTGTTCCAAAGACAATGTCTGGGATGACGAAATGATTGTCAAGCAATGCCAAAGCCATAGTGTTTTCTTTACGCACCAAACGCGCATGATTGCTTTAAAGTTAGATAGAGGTCTACAAAAGGAAGTTTTTTTTAAAGAAACTCTTATTAACATGTGAAAAACCAGACATCAAAAATATGACAAAGAACAGTCGACATCAAAGCGCTCTTTCTTATGTGTTCTTTGAGAGCTAGACATGATTTACGGTTTGCCCTCCGTCAACGGGTTTTCTTGTAATGGGCTTTCATCTCTGGCTACTACAAAGGTGATTTGTAGTAGCCATTTGAAATGCGGCACCAATATCTTCCTTCATTAACAAGTTCGGACCGGTGCTGCACATGGTGCAGCTGTGGATTTATAGTGTTTTCTTTTGTATCCAACAGTACTTTTGTCACGCTCCAGAAATAACAAGTTGAATGCCTAGCCCCAAATTTTGAGTCAACTTTATTGGGCTGTGCCGCCGCTATCCGCTGAGGGGATGACAAATCGAATAACGGTTGCAACTAGTGCGGCAACGGAACGACGTGTGCGAAGCATCAGTTTTTATTTGCTCCTGTTAACAAAAGAAAAACTGCTTATAATACCGACAGGTGTACCATGTACGACTTAGGTGGAGGTTTCCACCTATGTCGTTTTCAATCCTGAAATCTGTTTCCATCTTTTACGAAAACACAGCAATCCTTCTTGGGTAAAAAGCCAAAAACTTTAAATTCTTTTGGAACTTTGACACTGAAGCTTATTTGACATGCTGATCACAAATATAGAACTCATTAAATATAATAAGGTACCTTCGTTGACTAATGAGCAAAAGTGCATGTTTCACCGGGCGCGAAATTGCGCTCCGAAACGTGTTAATGGTCGGGATCCTCATTAGCTGCGCTCCCACGTAATGGAGTGGATCTTGGTCGTATTTCGCGAATCTTATATATAAAGCTGAATGTCTGTTTGTCTGTCTGTACGTATGTTCCGAATAGAAAATTCCATTTCTGGACCGATCGGGACCAAACTTGGCACACATACACTTTGGGCCCCGGCGGGTGTCATAGGCTACTTTTCGTTATCGATCGATATCGATTTTATTGATTTTTTGCAAAATTCGAGCTAGAGGGCTGGGATTTGGCAGAGGGGGGTAATCGAGCATGCTGATCACCCCGAAGGGGTGATCAGCATGCTCGATTACCCCCCTGTGCAAAATCCTAGCCCCCTAGCTCAAATTTTGCAAAAAATCGGTAAAATCGACATCGATCGATAACGAAAAGTGGGCTGTGACACGCTCCCTGCCCCGAAGTGTATGTGTGCAAAGTTCGGTCCCAATCGGTTCAGAGATAAAAATTTCTATTCGGAACATACGTACACGGGTCTAGCTGGCAGGCCCGGCGGAGCCGGGCAAGCCAGCTAGTATAGCATAAAATAGTCTTATTAATTCAAGCTGATCTCATTTGCGGTCTTAATAACTGCATCTGTGTACTTAGGCTTGGAATGTGGAAGTGTGACAGGGACATTTTTTTCATTACTGATTATAAGTGTTGTATATGGCGCACCACGAGTGCATATATAAACATAAACATAAACAGTTTTTTGCAAAATTTCACTATTTGATTTCACGATTTTAGGGCATTTCATAGAAGAAATCAAAAAAAGCTGAATTAAAACTCTGTTTCCCCCTTGTTGGTATCACTGAAATCTACCCCTTGAAAATTAGTTGTGCACATTTGAATGGTTGCTTGATTATGGCAGTAATTTCTGTGGAAGAAATCATATATTCCCCGAGGGAAGCATAGTTTTAGAAAGGAAAAACTGTTTCGTATTCCAGCCTATACAACATTTCTAGTCCTTGAGATTTTTTCCTCAAAGGTTATTATCAGAACGGAAAGATGTTTCTGAAACCCTGGCATCAGAATAGGAAAAAATCGTTTTTGAGAAATGTCGTGAATCAGAAATTGCACATGTACTTCTCTCTTTCGAAAAAAAGTCTATAAGGTCATGGCGTAGTACCGTCAATACAACAGGGGTGATACAGTGAATTGGCGAGGAATCATTGTAACTTATAAGGGAAGGAAGGTTGGTCAAAGTGGCCTTTCGAAATGAGGTGTACATTGCCTTGTAGAGCTTGGAACGCTGATTCCAAATCACCTTTGCTATCTGCTGCGGGCTTCTGGGCGTGGAGTTATGAAGGTTTATGTGAGTAAAAATCTGGATGCAAAAATAGGGTAAAATCAGTCGTAACCTTTTTTAATGTTCAAATAAGGCAGCAGCGATTTGGTACATTTAAATCAAGAATCGACTACCAATTTAGGCTTATAAAAGGTGCCACAACCGATTTTAGCCTACTCTTGCATTCAGATTTTTACTCACAAAAACCTTCATAACTCCATGCCCAGAAGCCCGCAGCAGATAGCAAAGGTAGATTTGGGATCAGTGTTCCAAGCTCTACAAGGCAGTATACATCTCATTTCAAAAGGCCACTTCGACCAACCTTCCTCTCCTTGTTAGAGGTCTTGTATCACTTGAAATGCTGAATCATCGAAGTTTAATGGTTATTGGAGAGAATTCAGAAAATTGTTTACAAGAACATCGCCTTTTCAGTTTATGACAGATGCTTAGAGGAGAACAGAGCACGAACAAGCCAGGCATCGCAGCATTCATGAAGTATTTATTCTCTTCTACAATAAACTAATTGGAATAACATTTATAATCGTTCATTCATGCCTTTCGTAGTCTTTATTGTTCCAAAGACAATGTCTGGGATGACGAAATGATTGTCAAGCAATGCCAAAGCCATAGTGTTTTCTTTACGCACCAAACGCGCATGATTGCTTTAAAGTTAGATAGAGGTCTACAAAAGGAAGTTTTTTTTAAAGAAACTCTTATTAACATGTGAAAAACCAGACATCAAAAATATGACAAAGAACAGTCGACATCAAAGCGCTCTTTCTTATGTGTTCTTTGAGAGCTAGACATGATTTACGGTTTGCCCTCCGTCAACGGGTTTTCTTGTAATGGGCTTTCATCTCTGGCTACTACAAAGGTGATTTGTAGTAGCCATTTGAAATGCGGCACCAATATCTTCCTTCATTAACAAGTTCGGACCGGTGCTGCACATGGTGCAGCTGTGGATTTATAGTGTTTTCTTTTGTATCCAACAGTACTTTTGTCACGCTCCAGAAATAACAAGTTGAATGCCTAGCCCCAAATTTTGAGTCAACTTTATTGGGCTGTGCCGCCGCTATCCGCTGAGGGGATGACAAATCGAATAACGGTTGCAACTAGTGCGGCAACGGAACGACGTGTGCGAAGCATCAGTTTTTATTTGCTCCTGTTAACAAAAGAAAAACTGCTTATAATACCGACAGGTGTACCATGTACGACTTAGGTGGAGGTTTCCACCTATGTCGTTTTCAATCCTGAAATCTGTTTCCATCTTTTACGAAAACACAGCAATCCTTCTTGGGTAAAAAGCCAAAAACTTTAAATTCTTTTGGAACTTTGACACTGAAGCTTATTTGACATGCTGATCACAAATATAGAACTCATTAAATATAATAAGGTACCTTCGTTGACTAATGAGCAAAAGTGCATGTTTCACCGGGCGCGAAATTGCGCTCCGAAACGTGTTAATGGTCGGGATCCTCATTAGCTGCGCTCCCACGTAATGGAGTGGATCTTGGTCGTATTTCGCGAATCTTATATATAAAGCTGAATGTCTGTTTGTCTGTCTGTACGTATGTTCCGAATAGAAAATTCCATTTCTGGACCGATCGGGACCAAACTTGGCACACATACACTTTGGGCCCCGGCGGGTGTCATAGGCTACTTTTCGTTTTCTTTTCGGGTGTCATAGGCTACTTTTCGTCATCGATCGATATCGATTTTATCGATTTTTTGCAAAATTTGAGCTACGGGGCTGGGAGTTGGCACAGGGGGGTAATCGAGCATGCTGATCACCCCCACGGGGGTGTGCCAACTCCCAGCCCCGTAGCTCAAATTTTGCAAAAAATCGATAAAATCGACATCGATCGATAGCGAAAAGTGGACTGTGACACCCGCCGGGGCCCGAAGTGTATGTGTGTCAAGTTTGGTCCGGATCGGTTGAGAAATGGAATTTTCTATTTGGAACATACGGCGGAGCCGGGTAAGCCAGCTAGTGTGTAATAATCTTGCTGATGCTTAGTAGCAAATATAAAATTCAAAGTAGACTTTTCTTGAATAGTGAAGTTTGAGTAATTGGCCTCAAAAAGTGTAAGCTTAACCTTCCACCAAAGAAGTATAGACTGTATTTTAATTTGATTCCTGCTACATTAATGAAAGCACATATCCTTTGTAATAGGATTACTGAATACTATCTTACTAGGTCTCTTCCTGACTATCAACGAAGCAAGCTTGTTTAGTTAGAAGTGGAGAATCCAAATTTTTATAATGGTGGCTAATGGTTGGCGTCAAAAAGGAGCTCTAACAATTGACGTCGTGCATCACCTCTTGTTTAAGGCAGTAATCATAAGCTATAGTCATTTTGTTCAAGACTGTCTATCTAACAGTGGCTGTCGCACAAGTCCTCGAAGACGACAGAAATCTTCTACCATGGAACTGATGAAAAAGGATGCTTGTTAACCGACTTGCAGAACTTCAAGCCTTAAGAAAAAACGAAGAAGACGTCAAAAAGCATCTGGGACTCCGCAGCGATGATGTGTGATGCAGAAAAGGCATACCTTGACGAACATCTGAAGGACTATTCGACTTTAGAACTTCCGCAACCTTCCGAGACTATTCATGGTGTCAGACATGTAAGACGTCCTTTCCAGGGATAAGCATATCAAAATATCTACAATACAACAAACTTGCAATTGTCAGAATTCTCTTCCAGTTCAGTCCAGGCACACTCTACCAGTAAACGCTACGTTTCAGATGAGGCCATCCAACCCACGGATGAGTTGGCCGGCATAACTTCTATCGGCCAGACACCACTCGTTTTTGTGGATCCTGGGGTAATGCGAACGCACAATACTATTTGAACACATTCTTGTGAAGAAAGTTCTTCCTTGAAGCCAGATCCACTTCACCGGGCGAGCCTGACCATACTTACATGCTTTTCAGACTGCTCGCAACTAGTTAGGCAACCGCCCCAGTTCGTGGCTTGCCTACACACTAGAACACAATATGCTGACATCTGGAACAAATACAAAATTAAATCCACCTTGAGCATACTCATAAGATAGGATACCGTCCTGTCTGGTAAAGTGAAATTACAAGTATATCATTAAAATGAGCATGAACGTTCAAATGTTCGAATTTGTCAAGCCTTTAGTGACATAAAAAGCGAAAAGCTGTACAAAAACACATATGCAGATTTCCACTATTTGTATTCTTTCTTTGTAGTCAATATATACATGATACAAGATTGATTTCCCATTTTCCGGTGTTTTTACACAGTTTTCGCTCGTTTTATGCCTCTTAGGGCTTGACCAATATGAACATCCAAACGCTCATACTTTCTTTTGAAAAGTTGTTTCGCAAAAAAGCAAGGCAGATTTGTAATCAGCGTTTGAAGGCGGCTCTAGTGATATACATCTCTTTTCGATCTCTTGCAGATCATGTTGGTATCCTTTCTTGGTAAAACCCGTTCAACGGATACAACTTTTTTAACTGTCGTCGCGTAAGCAGAAGAAGTCTCCTTCCAAATGCGATGCTGATCATTTAGTAATCCCTAGGCCAGTCTATTTTATAAAGCAGCTATTCTGAAGCAAGCTTACTTTTTCTGGTTGCATGAGGAGCATCATAAGCTTTGATCATCCATTTATTCTGAGTATGTATTCAAAAATTGCGGACTTGTATCTGACGACTGACGATATCAAAATGTAAGTTAGCAAAAATTATGGTCCGTTTAATATGGACCATATGCAGGTATGGAGAAAGATTTCAGAGGCATCTTGTTCAAAGCATGGCCCTTCGCTATAAGTTCTTAAGTTCTGACAAATGTGGACTCCTGAGTGGATAAGAACACTCCGGAAAGCTGATACAAATGTGTCCGCTCTGCCTATAGAGGCTAAGGCTGCGTTCATACTGACTCCGAAGTCCGGGAGCAGTTCCAGCACAGCGTTCACTTCGAGCACTTTGCTGGAATTGTTCCTGAACTTCCAGATCAGTATGAACACAGCCTAATACAATCAGATCTGTCAACTCTTGTCCACATAATAAACGGCTAATTTTAAACATTCCTAAATACATAGAGGCCCACTGAAGGACTCATACCTCCCAGACTACCGACATTGATGAGCGGAAGCACAAGCAGAGTGCAAGTGGAGCGGTTTTCTCCCCACGGTTTCACCTTACCTTTTGCAGAGAGACTCATGCAGTTATACATTCGATTCAGACCTCGCACTTGCACAATACTCAATGCTTATATCCTCCCCACCCCTTTTTAGAGGACTCAATACCGCATACAGTCTGCCCCAATCGGGATCAGGCCGAACCGTCGGCGCAAATTTGCGCGTTCGCAGCGCTGGAGGTCTGCGCTGCATATGCGCGCTGTTGGAGAGAGCAAAAGGATTGCAGAGAGAGCAGAGAAGCAGGCCGTGGGCGTGACCGCGAGACCCTAGCGACGTGGACTCCCGCCATGCCAGTTTTGGCGTGGTTAGAATTGGGGCAGACTGTAGGTATAGGGAGGATGGTGTAAGCAGAGGAAGATGATCAAGAACCGCGCTTTCGGTTGTCATCAGTTCAAAATTCCAACTAAAAGCTACGCGAGTCTTCAACCAATACCAAAAAGCTGCTCGGCTTACCATTTCCTTTTACTTAACATTTGTGAGTTTGATGGCCTTTGCTGGAAAAATAGTCGAAATAATTGCAAAGCTAATTTTAGTTGCATTCTCATGAGTTTCCGACTTCCGTAGTTTTGTTTTCAAATGAGTCTAAGATAATAAGCCGAACAACTCGTACAACATTTCTGGCATAAACCTCTTTCCGGAAGGTGGAGGGTCTCCTATGTTAGAAAGTATACTAACGCGGTGTATAAGTGGATGAATGTGGGATAGACACTGAGCGAGAAAACCGTGCTTCCCCCACGTTAACGAAACGACGTATGTAGATGCTAAGATTTTTTATTCTTAGCCATATGCTGTGGTGCAAATATTAAGAAATATTCCGTACATGCAGGCAAAGATATTCTGTCTAATTTTAAGATATTTTGCCTCCAGCTTCAACAAGAAAACGTGTTGATATAGATGATGCAAGACGAAGTAACAGTCATCAAAAACTTGTTGTGCGGAGAACGCGGACAGATGAAGTGGAATATGCAGTTGAAATGGTCGCCTTACAGCCAATCGGCTTACGTGTTCCATTCCTACACAAACCTTTGAAATGATGCAAGTAGGAAATTCCTAAGAATCCTACAGAAAGGAGTGCCTGAACGGGAAGTGTTGCTTGTTGGTACTGGTGAGCAGTTCATTTCCAATAGAGACTATCGGCGACGGTCGGTATACATAGATACACAACCGCATTTCTGAAATCAAAAAGGCAGATTCTCACATTACGACAGCGATGGGCAAGTTCTCTTATCATACCAGCTATGAGTTTGACAATACGGTTGTCGCTGCTAAGCTGTGGAACGCTGCCAGTGCGACTGGCGGAGAAAAAAGCAAAAGCGGGCAGTTAATAACTTTCTGATTTAACTTCCAATAAACATCTCATTTATCTTGCGCTTGAAAACGGCTACGCTCTGTGCTGACAAAACGGAAGGAGGCAATTTGTTAAACCATCTGAATATTGTGTAAAAAAAGCTGTTGAAATCAAAAGAAAGCGTTTCTTTTGTTAAATGGATAATGAAAGTTGAACCAATCCATCCTGCAAGTTGGTCTGAAAATCCAGTATTCGCTTGCATTTAGTTCAAGTTTTCTACGTATAACCGGAAGGCAAAAATGAGATCAAGGTATATTCTTCCTTCTCCAAACTTTTCACTGCCAAGTACTTGCGTGCCAAGTACTGAGACGATTTTCATATACTGGCATTTCAGTGAAAGCAAACGTTCTACGACATCTCAAAAACAGAATACGAACAAATGTTTGCTGAACCTTTTTTAGTTTTGAGACATTCTTCTTCAAAAAAGGATTCCAAATCACAGAATAGTATCAAGATAAGGCAACACATACGCTTTGAAGAGCCGTTTAAGAATCGCTGGGTTATCTGTATGTACTAATCGAAGTATCGTAAATAAGACTGAATAAGCCTTGTTTACGAGCATAGTCAATGTGTTTGGAAAACTTCGACTCAGAATCAAATTCTTGGGTGTTAATTCTTGCAAGCCTTCTTCAGAAGAATTCCGTTGATCTCATAATCAGATCGTTCCTCGTCACCAAAATGCATAACCAAACATTTTTCCAAATTTAACACGTTGACGACCGAGCCATTTTTGACCACATCAAAATGGACTGATGATCTACGGCTGCGGTTTGGACTGTTTAACAGCTACCGCAATGCCTTGTGTTCATTATATATGACAACCAGGTCACCAGTGTTATCACTGCATAGAAGTTACCTGAGAACTTTTCGTTTACACATGATAAATTGGTGCACGAAAGTGCTAAAAGGTGGTCTGGACGTGCATACGCGCGGATGCACACGGTCGTCAACGTGTTAATGGGATATCGAAGCTTGAAGCCCACTACGCCATTTGATCCAACGATTTCCCAATTGCAGACAGACCTTCGTGCCCATCATCTCTGTCTTAGATCCCGTATATCTTGAATCGTCTGCATACATCTGAATCGTAAGATGAGCAGACGTTTTCAAAATAGACGCGACCTCGGCGGTGTACAACAAGAAAAGCAATGGAGAAAGTACTCCCCCTTGTGGAACGCCGCTGCGGCAGACATGTCTACTTGAGAACTGATGTCCTTCTTTGGCTGTCATTCCCCTGTTGATCAAGTAAGATCTAAGCCAGCTCAAAAGATTACCTCCAAACCAATTTGTTCAAGCTTGCATATGAGTTTATTATGATTGACTCTATCGAAAGCTTTTGAGAGATTTACGTAAACAACATCTCAAACATTCCTCTGTTCAACGCTAAATTCCAGTCAAAATTAGAATCCGCAAATTAGTAGCAGTGGAAGCCCCACCATAAAGCCATGTTGATTTGGAGGAATAACATCACTGCCAAGCCATGAAAGTAACTTTTCCGAAGTATTTCCTCCATTACTTCTACTGTGGTGGAAGTGAGATTTATTGGACGAAAATAAAATCTGAAACGCAATCTCACTGTCTGTGATAAAAAGGTGGTCTGATTAATCACTCACATTTGGCAGTCGATTTGATTTGAGTTTCCCGTTGATATATTTAAAGGGTGGAGGACATTAGGTCGCCGAAAGAGGGCGGTCCCCGCGGTCATTTGCGACAAATACGCACCCTTGCACATACTCAGACACTCGCTGCGGCGGCGCGCGCGCTTTGTGCGTGCGGCCCCTCATGTCGCCCGCCGCTGGCCGTCAAATGGCGCGCGCGCCGCGAGTAGATGGTGCGCGCGCCGCGGGTAGATGGAACGCGCGTCGCGAGTAAATGGAACGCGCGCCGCTAATACATGGCATACCGCTCGCAGTCTGCTACTTCTCTAGGATGATTTTTCTTGCTCTTTTTCGTGCTGTAATGTGTCTTTTAGTGTAATTGAGCAGTCTGTGTGATTTGGGTAATCATTTTATTTATTATCAGTAGATAAATCTTATTACAAATATAGCTATGTCATCGCTAGGCGTGGATCACAGCATATAAGAGACCATAGAGCAGAAATAATAACAGAAACAACAACCAAACATGGAAAAGATGGACGCTTTGGGAGCATAATAACATGATAAAGATTAGCGACGGTTGGAAAAATAGCACCAACAAGTAGTTATTGCCAAGAAGCAAAAAAAACTAAACAAAAACTTCAAAAACTTCTGTACAAAAGGAACGCGTACACGCGCTCAAACAAATCTGCGCGCAGGCGGCGCGCACTGAATCAGCGAGCGATGTACCTTCCCGCCCCTGTGTGTGCAGTGCGCGCCGCCTATGGATTGAATGGCCCGCCGCCTGCGCGCTACGAGGAAAATTTTGGCAGGAATCTGCTCGGATTTTTGTTGTCGGTCTAAATATCTTATGCTTGTTGGACAATATGGTTTCACAACTGTTTTATTAACGAATAATAATTACAATTTTCAAATTTGACAGGTTTTAACACAAATTGCAACAGAAGTACAGTAACAGGATAAGGCTGTCTTTGACAGCTGGCATTTAATACTATTAGCTCAGGTAGCACTTACAAAATTCTCAAACATTTTAAAGTCAACAACAACAAGGTATTTACATTCAAATGTGATATCAACAAGACGTATGTATGAAGTAATGAATACAATGAAGTTGATAGTAACGAATGCGAGAGTATGACGAGATAACTTGAAACTGCCAATAAAATCACTAAGTACTTTGATAAATAAACTGAACATGTATACATAGATATGAATGCATAATATATGTAGTTTTAGAGGAATAAAATATGAAAATGCGATAGCAATGAACAAAACGCGGGCATGCTTGATCAGCCAGAATTAAATGCTCATAGACTTCATGTACCCAATTCAATTACAGGAATAAAACGATTGGATGACGGGGATATGATGGGTATTCCGCGGAACGCGTATACGCGGACATGCGTTCCTGCAGGGAATCCGCGCGGGACTCTTCCAAATTCGGCGACCTAATGTCCTCCACCCATATTGAAAAAATGATTTCGATGAGGCTCTAGCAGCTAATCTTTGGTCATAGTTAACCACAAGTTTCCTTAAATGAAAGTCAATATCTTGGCGTACTTTTCTGTACATAATTCGGATAGTGGTTCGGTCAAAGACAAAATTAGACGTTCCTTTTGATTCAAAAAAAAATTGCCAGGATGCTTCCTATTAGGTCACTTAGTGGCGGCCCCATTTAAATCTACAGAGTCGGCTGCGCGGGCGGTCGCGTCGCGCGCGCAGCCTTTATCATCAGGTCACGCTTGCCGTATGCGCTGCACTCTACTGGATGTATTATAGATAGATGCTTACTCACTTCCTTGCGCGCTACCTGGACTTGACAACACCAACGGTTTCTACATTGAAATGTGGCAATCAATGGTTTTGACATTGAAATGTGGCAGTTAACGGCTTTTGTGACAATGGAATGTGACGATCTTTCCTGAAAGATCGAGCATAGTGCTTGATCGGAACGAGTTGTTATGTCATTCATTTGATTTTGAGCTTAGCTCGCCAAATGCGTTTGCATGCTTAGAATGTTTACATCCTTTAAAAGTATCGCAAGTTCTTTTTATTTTGTTAAAACTGTCGTAAGAACCCTGCTAGAGTGAACGCTTCCATGAATCTCGATTATCCTTATCATCTCCAAATCTTCCACTCATGCGGGACTATTGGTTATGGTAAGTCTTTTTCGAAGATGAAAATGATTTTTCGCATCGTATCTTGTTGTGACTATGCAAAAGGAGCAACCTAAGGCATCTGAAATCCTGACGTACTATCAATCTCTGCAGTTTTGTTTGCCATATAGTCCCTCGGTATGCTGCGTTCATCCCTACCATACATAGGGCAAGCACAGAATAATCAGGTCTGGATGCCTTAAGGCTGCGTTCATACTGATCCCGAAGTCCGGGAACAGTTCCAGCACAAAGTTCAATTCGAGCGCTCCGCTGGAACTGTTCCCGAACTTCGGGATCAGTATGAACGCAGCCTAAGGCGACTCTTTATAACTGCTGGATAGTGGATGCAAGAAAGATATATGTTGGAAGACTCAGGAGACCAAGCGTATTGAGAATTAAGATCTTGTAAGTATAATTGACATGCATCTCTCTCCAGAACATCTTTGCAGATACACTAAATTATAGGCGAAGAAGTTCACGAAAAGGTGAGCAAGAGCGACAGCCCGCGTGCTTATCGTAAAAAAGTCATCTGTTGGTATAGTACCCATCTTTAGCACAAAAGTTTCAGCATACAAGCTATCGATCTTACTTTTTCATACAAACTGTTCGATTTTTCAAACTAACTTTTCCAAGTAGTAGGCGCAAAGTAACCTTTAGTCAATTTGCCATTAGAAAAACCGGAAGTAAGGATCAGGGTTGTAAAAATCTGAGCGCGGCAACAATGAATGCTCATCAACTTCTCCGTCAGAATTTGGTTGAGATTGACTGTTTGAGATGAACCCACAATCCGAACGCATTGGGACCGGTCATACTATTTCTGTGATTCCTGCGGGTTCCCAACATTGTATGTTGCGAAAAAACAATGTATACATATAATCCGTAAAGCGCTCCGTAGTGCGATACATCGGAAGTCATAGAATCACAGGCACTACAGGAATTGGAATCGCAGGAATCAACTCCTGGAATATGCCGGGTCCCATTTGCCCAAATCGCGGGAGCTGTCAAGATCATAGCTCTAAACTGAATAGAGAGTAACAACATCTCAAAAACCCGAGAAGCACCTATGATTCCATCCAAGCTTGGGTGCCCAAGCTGCCCATAGGTAGCAAACTTACTTCTCCAAAACAGGCTTCTTAAATATCTGTCTGGAGTCTCCGCATCACTTGGTGGCTCGACGTAAGAGAAGAGCCCATACATTGTAAACTGGTGTACCTTCGATCTGCCACCAATCGATTAGTTACAGCACATATCGAAATGTCGAAATTTAGCATTGCATGACGGCGGACCCGAGCGTGACCTGCTGCTAAAGGCTGCGCGCGCGACGCGACCGCCCGCGCAGCCGACTCTGTAGATTTAAATGGGGCCCTTAGTGGCAATGGTGGTCTGGCGCATATGCATGCTATAACGCCAATACGCAAAAAGTGGCGGGAATTTGCAACGCGCGGCTGTTGTGGCGACGTCGCGACATCGCTACGCGATCTCGGTCATCATCGACTTTGCGCGTGGAGATGTTTATTTATCGCTTTGCGTTGATGTTGTGCTGTGCACCTGTATAGTTTGTTCACACTGTTAGTGTTCAGCTTTGACTCCGTGGCTATCGATTAATTCTGGTGATATCCGAATATGATGGATTGCATTTTAGGTGGTTTTCCATTGTGTAAATGATATGGTCACTTGTAACGCTCAATTCTTTATTGTAAATGGCACATATCAAAAGAAAGTTTACATTTGATGATCCTGAAGATAGCTACTGGAATGAGAGTGGATCCAACTCCTCATCGCTATTTGATGATCTGCCCTCAAAACAAGTGAGTTTGCCTAACCACTGTTTCTTTAAAGATTTGAAGGCAACCTTATCAGAGCTTATTGCTCTTTGCGTTCTGTTGCTAATGCCTTTATGAGTCACTGGCAACAGAACAGCTCATTGATAAGGGTGCAACTTGTCATTTTCGAGGCTTTTCCTTACTTAATTTTTTAAGTGGGCAGCACGTGCAGCCGTGGATAACCTTTTCGAACAGCGAGAGGTGTTCTCTGCCAAAGTTACGCAACCATCAACTTCACTTCAAAATGCGAACGCTAATGATGACTCGGGGTTAGTGCATTTATATTGCTTGACATCATCTTCGAACATAGCACCATTTCAGGGAAATCAGTCAGAAACGTGAAGATGCTGTCCAAGATTTCATCAATCACAAAGCTGCAAATCTGAAGCTAGAGGTGAGTCACTTTGCTTCAAAATTTTCGTCTTACCAGGCGTTATATTAGTTGTTATCACTCTGATGTACGTGAACATCTTGGTCCCACTTAATCACTTCTAATCTTCATATGAGTGCTAATTATATTGAGTCTTTAATCAGCATTGATTTTCTTCATAGTTGGAATCGACCGAAAATCAAATATGGCTCGGAGGTCCACTTTTTTTTATCGTAGAAATCCAGGACATTTGATCGTTATTGCGATTTAGTCGCAAATTGAGATTTCTATTCCTTCCTTATTCCACATTCATGCTAGAGATGATGTCAAGTAGAGAAGAATATCGATTTTGATTCTTACATAAGATGTATTATGTGTCCGAACGTCAAGTGCTTGCTTTCTGCACGAGTGCCTAGCATTGTTCGTGCTACAAAAACCCATGTCGCAGTAACAAATGCATATGAGACATGGTTTTTGTCTTACTTTTGGAAAAAATCATTCTTGAACAACGGATACGTTTGTCAAGAAATATACTTTGTTTGTAAAGGGAAGATTCTTGAAGTTTACTAAAATTAGATGCTTACAGATCGAGTCTTCTCCGCTTCATGCTGGAGGTCCATCGGCAGCATCAGTAGTGTCAGAATGTAGCGTAAGCAGTCTACCCAGCGATGCTCATCGCTTAGATCTCGACTACTCAAGGTTACGAGCTGAACACCGCAAGCTACAGCGTCATTTGGAGGTATTTTCCTTCTATATTGTACATTTCTATCTGTGTTCGAGTAGCACATTGTTTTCACGCTACCGCTGGAAATGTCTATCGGAAGCGTCCAAAAATTGTGCGAAATTAACGAAGTCATATTAAAGGGCCGCACTATTACAGGGTACAATTAGTACGGTAGTTTTCAATGACACATCTCACCATAAGGAAGCACTGAGATTTCTATAAAGCGAGGCTACTTATTACATTTAGGCTGTACGACATGACAGATATCGCGCGCCAGAAGTGAAGGAGGCAGTTCGGCGCTTGCTCAAAGGTGATCCAGTCTCATTGGAATGGTATCGATCCAAAGAAGAAAAGGTTCAGCTACTAGATGCAGCGATAGACATCGTAGATGGAAATGTTATACTGGCTGTAAGTCAAATTACCTTTCGATCGTTGTCACTTCGATACATCTGTTTAGGTTGTTCTCTTTCTCAAAAGTACCCTAATAGACTCGATTTTCCGAGATTTACTCTTGAGGAAGCCTCAAGCCGCTGAAGAATACATAAGTTTTCTTAAAATGACTAGAGATTATGATGAACTAACGACTACGCTATTGTGAGTTTGCGTGTTTCTTCCTCGATGTTGGAACAGTCTCATTGTGTTGTTTAAGTGCCCTAGGAAGAAATGCTGACGCTGCTATGATAGAATTTTCTGCAGCCATACGACATCAGGTAGCTGATCAGAAGGTGGGTCCAGAGTCTTTCTTTAGTCTTGCTCTTTTTCAAAACTGTTTGGTTCTTCTTTCTCTTTGCTTGCCTTACTTTGCCTAAATGAAAGTTGGGGTGCCCACGTTTAGATCATGAGTTGATTGGCCAAGAATTCTGTTTAGCTTTGTGGTGATTTGTGTTTTTAGGATTTTTTTTTCCGTCAGAATTATCTTTTTTCTTGAGTGCACAATTCTGTCTAAATTTATCATTTAGGTACAAGCGCTAAAGAAATGTGTGCGTAGCGGCTTCAGTGATCCGCTGCTCAGCTTAGAGGCTAGTGTTGTAAACGACTTCATAGGCTTACTGGAACAACAAATACCCATTAATGTGAGATTACAGCAATGTAATTTCTTTCATTGGTGTTCTAGATGATTATAGGTAGCGGACGATCAGAGTCGAAATCCAGCTTTTACTGCTTTCCCAAAAAACGCCAGTCTTGTAGGGAGATCTGTGATTGCTACGTACTACTACTGCTGCTTGTATCATTATGATGATCCTGTGGTACGTTGATCTACGGTGAATATAGTATTATCAGGATGCTTTTAACAACAAGTTATATAAATTATTGTAAATCAGTGCGAAGTTCGTATTCGCATCTGTTCTTGAAGGTCTTAGAAGTTAACTTGAAATGGTTATGAACTTTTTTTATTGCTACAGATGTCACCAGATGCGGGATGATCGTTTAAATTATCACGTGATTGAGTTTTTTTTTAAGCATGCGCTTGCAAGTCCTTCGCACATACGCGATGCATTTCGAATAACAGACAGAGAGGCAGTGTGGACTAGTGTGAGTGCCCTAGCCAAACAGTGCAGGTATGACTCATAGCAAATATGCATTAGTACTTAATCCGAGCAAGATTTTTTAGATGGCCAGACGTAGAAAGAGTTCTGCAGCCGAAAACGTTATTGGGGGCATTACAAAATAGAGGTAGGATTTCCCATCTTATAAACTTCTACCATGAGTCTTGGTGGCACACGTTTTCTCTGATTTGGGATTTTCTGCATGTGTCTTTTTATGTGACCTTTTCTTTTCATTCCAGCTGCTCTGAACTCGCCGAAACTCTCATGTCCGTTCAGCTGGCAAAATCTCTTCCACATATTGCATTCGAATTCAACTGCTCCACCCAAAGATGTGAGTTCATCGTTATCGTTCTATCTTTTTTCTACTGCAAGTTTCTTGTGTAGCGGCTTTGCTGCCATTCTGTAGAAGCTTGCGAATGGGTGGTCACACTGGAAGAATTTGGCCCGCACCGATAAAAGGATTTTGAATTCTTAGAAATATCACTTCTTTCTCGTTCCGCCTATTATATCGTGTTCTTGCTTATGCACATTGACTTAGTTGAAATAATCCGCTTATTTCCATCTTTATCTCAGTTGTCGTGCCGAATTCTTCGCGCCGTTAATGATGCTGACATGAGGCTAAAACTCGCAGAGAAATACGATGTTTGTGAGGTGAGTCCAGTCTGGTCTATTAGACGTGTTTTTTTTTGTTTTCTTCACATAAATAAGCTCACTTGCTTCATTTGTGTCATTTATCATCTAATAAGTCGTCATACTCGCTTTAGTATGACGCACACACTAATTAAGCCTTTGTGTTCTGTGTGCAGATTTTTCATTCAAACCTTCCATATCAAGCCATCTGTTGATATGCTTTCAGATTGTTATTGAATGCTTAGTTGCACAAAAGGATCGCTTACGCCTGACCAAGTTTGCTAGTAAACTTACACCGCATACACCTGATGCTTATAAAGCTCTTGCTGCTTTGAATAATACGGTGAGCCAACACTGAACTTCTTATTGCTTTAAAGTCTTTTAACAATGTGGTTTTCAGGGTACGAAATGGAAAAACTAGAACATGCTGCTTCTATGGTGCCTCCACGCTTGCGATAGGTCAAATTGATGTTCTTTTTTCTTTCACTTCCTTCACTTCCGCACTTGTTCTGCTTACATTCTTTTTCTTACAATTGTTTTTATGCTCTATGATGAAGTACATTTATTCTGATATGGGAAGCAAGTATGTGATTAAAATTTAAAGCTCTGCTTATGCACACCAGTCATCAACTTGTGATAATCAATCTAGGCATTTATTATATGTATCTCTTCTAGTTAAATGGTACAATGACTTTATGTGCATAATGAGATTCCCAGTGTACATAATATCATCAAAGACCCTTTAGAATACCAGCAAATCCCTTTACTGAGTTGTGCGTATCTGTGATAAGATTTGGGCAACATATTTATTGTCAACGTGGATATGGCGAATAAATATATGTTGTAGTCGATTTTGAACAACATTGAAATACATTACTGTTGATTGACAGCACTGTTATCTGCTGATTTCATGTCTCTGTAAATTGCTGTAATGGATAAGTATCTTGGATGTGCCGATAGTGGCCACACATATGCATGTTAAATATTGCTAGATGTTTGAGTAACCTCTAGGGAATACTTTTGACATATTTCTGCTGGGACGAAATTGTCTGAGATATTCTGGGCTGTACTTTGCACGCTGTCTAGTTATAATGTGAAATATCATTGGTAAGGGTTTGACGCGTCAATAATCCTAATGGAATGGGTGAGATTATCATGCTATCGCACAATATTCACCGTTTTGTGGTGAGAAATTTCGTCGCCATTGATTGTGGTAGAACTGTTTCGCTGTGCTATGTCTGGGTTTTGGTTTGACTACCCTTTTCCAATACAGAATTTTTTTCCATATAAAGATCTTCAAAATATCCTCGAAACGTTCGCTCGTGTTTAACTTCGTAACGTTATGTTATTTCGCATTGCTTTTACAGATATGTTGGGAGGCCTTGCCTTCTATCCATCATTGGGTTATAATCTTCTACGGAATTACATACAACCTCAGAAATGGTGCTGGTTCAACCGTGTAGATGAAAATCTTATAGTAGGAGCTTTACCTTTCAAATCAATGCGGGACGAGCTTGTAAATGTAAGACCATGACTTTTTTTTATTTATTTTGGAACAACTGTGGTTGCATCTTTTTTCAGAAGGAGAATGTCGGCGGTGTTGTATGTTGTGTAGAAGACTATGAACTGAATCTAGCCTATAATGCAATGACCAAAGAGGTAGGTATTTTTGAATTTGTTGCAAACTGTGGTTATCATGTTCTTCCCTGTCCCTGCACTCGCTTATTTGTGAAGTAACGCCACTTAGCTGTTGAATTTCTCAGAAGATCCCCTCACATTTTGTAAGGAATGTTTCCATTTTGTTACCAAAGATTTGATAATCGTGTTATTCGGAGCATTATTTATTTTTTGAAAAACTAGAACTCATTCCATAGAGATTTATGCCATACTTCTCAGTTGCTTTTAGGTTCTTTTTTTTTTCGGATACTGTCATTCTATTGCATTACTTTATTGCATAGATTTCTATTTTTATTATTTGAATTCAAATTTAAATCGCGATAGCTTTTACCTCCCCATATTTTCCTTTCAGACGGCATTATTGTTTCCATTCAGTCAATGTCTTCATGTTCATGTTATATCACTTCTTTTCTCATTCTTTTTTTGTTTGGTCTTTCAATTAATCCAGTTAAAATCTTGTCTTTGAGGACTGGCAAGCTGCCGGCGTTGATGTATACGATATCCCGATGCGGGACTTTTTTGGATCTGCAGGTAGGGCTGAAATCGATTCTGCTGTTCACTTCATGGAAGGTATCGCAGCCAAAGGAAAATCTGTCTATGTGCATTGTAAAGTGAGTGGTTTCCATTAATTCTGGTTACTTCTTAGTGTCCCCTTATACTTTCACTCTTCAGGCAGGGCGCACGAGAAGCGCGACGGTTGCAGTCTGTTATCTTATTAAGAAGCATAACTGGCTACCAAATGTAGCAATGGAGTTTTTGAAATCTAAGCGGCCACAGGTTTGCATGAGCATACACTACCCTTTTTTGAAGATATATCCCACATTATTTTTTTGTATTTATGTACTCTTTGATCAATACCTCTGTTTCTGCCTCTGTTTCTCATGTTATCGTTGTCATTCAGACCATCCTACGAAATGCTCATTGGCGCACTGCTAACGAATATCGCCGTTTTCTCGACCATCATATGACCAACGATCAAAGATCTGGATCTTTGTAAATTGTAAGTCAAATTTTTGGCACATTTCTGGTAGTATCCTGTTCGCAGACGGACTCAACAGAGCCGAAGCTTTTGAACAGAAAATGGTCTAGTTTTATCTCTTTTCTTAGGTATTTGATCATTTTTTGTCTGGTGTTCTACCGCCATCCTTTGGAGCAATTCAATCGTCTTTCTCTTGCACGGTTGGGTACTGTTTTCACGTTGGTTGAGATTTGGTTGGACCATTCTCTTGCCAGTTCTATGAGTTGGCGACATGAAAACTCCTCATCTTATATATAAAACTGAATGTCTTTTGTATGTATGTATGTCTGTCTGTCTGTCTGTATGTCTGTGTGTACGTATGTGAATAGAAAATTCCATTTCTGAACCGATCCGGACCAAACTTGGCACACATACACTTCGGACCCCGGCGCGTGTCATAGGCTACTTTTCGTATCGATCGATATCGATTTTTATCGATTTTTTGCAAAATTTGAGCTAGGGGGCATGCTGATCACCCCCGTGGGGGTGATCAGCATGCTTGATTACACCCCTCTGCCAAATTCCAGCCCCCTAGCTCAAATTTTGCAAAAAATTGATAAAATCGATAAAAGTAATGCACGGTTTCGAAAACTAATATTGTATTCGTAATCGGCATGCTCGATTACACCCCTCTGCCAACTCCCAGCCCCGTAGCTCAAATTTTGCAAAAAATCGATAAAATCGACATCGATCGATAACGAAAAGTGGACTGTGACACCCGCCGGGGCCCGAAGGCTATGTGTGCCAAGTTTGGTCGGTTAAGAAATGGAATTATCTATTCGGAACATACGGCGGAGCCGGGTAAGCCAGCTAGTCGCTTATAACCTCTTCGACGTTCATTTCCGGAATCAGCGAGACGAACAAGTTTTAAGGATAGAATTTCGAAATTTGTAGAGCTACTGCCGTTAACGGTACTTACGTGAGGTTCAGAGCTTTTCAAATCCAAATGTACGCTACGATTTTGATGGGTTCCCAAAGACTCAGCAAAACCAAGTTTTCAATCTCGACCTTCTCTAAATCAGTAAAGTGCACAATGCCTTAAAAAGTAGAAAATAGAAGTCCTGAGTTATGTGATTAGTTGTTTGATCGTCAATATCCGCCTTCGTACAAAATCATTCGCAGATCTTTTAGGTCATAATTTGATCTGGCTCGTTAGATTTACAGCAAAACCAATCACTGATCGCTTTTCATTTCTGTAGAGATAGGGAGGAACTTCCAGTTCAAACCGCTGTAAAGCTTGCAGAAGGAATTCCAAAAATCTGGAAAGTTGTGTAACAAGGTTTTCACGCATGCCTATTCCACTGTATAACTATTTACGGAATTCTAAAGCTTTGCAAAGATGTGAACGTATTTTTGAGAATTATTGAATAAGCAGTGTTACGCTATCCTTGGCATGACTCATAGAAGGACATTACGGCACAATGCAAGTTTTATATACAAATTCAGCAACTCTAAGTAGCTCAGTATAGAAATCTTCAGCTTGTTTGGTTATTTACTAAAACAAAAAATGGCTCCTAATGGCGTAAGGTCCTCTTCTAGGTTCTTACCGTAGTCCTACCATAATGAAGATCGATCGATGATTTGTTCTATGCTGTAAGTTCAAGTTAAAGCCAGCGCAGAATGTATCCCAAAATGGAAAGCCGGGGAGTTTAGCAATTGAAGTTGGAAGCTCAAAACTACTTCAGAACTGTTATAGAAGGCGTGGGGTAATTAAGAAAGGGCGAAAAGGTTTGGGTGTTTGTCGCTTTTGCACCACAAGATGCCGCTCAACAGACCGCTTAGTTTCCATTTTCTTTCGGAAACGTTATGAAACGTATGATCAATTTTTGAATAGTATCTTGTGATTGTGATATTGTCTTATCAAAGCGTGTTTGCAGAAAAGTTCTTTGCAACAGGCTCTTGATGTCACCCGCAGAGCTTGTATCCCTCTATTCCAGATTCCGCTCAGTGGCGAGCCAAACCGGTCCGCTTTGGTTGCGTACGCTTCGATGACGATTCGAAGAGGAGCTCAGCTCTTTTTGCTTGCACTCACCTCCAATGTTTGTTTTCTGTATTCATATCTTCTATGTACAATCTGTGCTTGATTGCACCAGCACTGCTAGGTCGAATACTTCAAATATTGTTAAAGTTATTATCAGATTAGCTTATTCTCTCTGCTTTATCACTTTAAAACTTGGGATTCTTGGTTTTATTATTATCCCAGACGTTGTCTCCTCAGAACTATTGGATTCCTTTTCTCGCATTCTAACCTCGAAATAGTTGTGTTCTCTATCACAAATTATGAGTTACTGATACGCTTTTGTGCCTTGAGTCTCGCGCACAACTGTTGACTGATCACGACTTTGCGCTTGTTCCTTGAGTTTCTTTACAATCTTAATAAATTATTGGATATTTGTAGTGTATCATGATAGCAGAGACCATTATGATTTGAGTGCTATTTTGTACGATTGGGTTAGAAAAAATTGCTGGAAGGGTGATAAAAGCACCGTCTTTGAAAACTTTCGGTTCCTGAGTTTGTTATGTGAAAAGTGGAAGATCTTTGAAACATTGCCCAAACAGCAACTCAAATAAGTCGCTCGTAGCTGAGAAATCCGAGTAACTCTAGCCCATACCGTAGTATCTACCATACTTGGGGACTTTTGATTGGTCCGCTCGGAAAGAGTAGGATCTTCGTGGAACTTATGGTTTTTTTCTACGAATAAATCAAATGATCTGTTGATCAGCAATGGCTTGGCTGAGGTCCTAGTCTCAATACAAGATATTCAATTAGCAAAGTAAGCCGAGCATGTCTCTATGTTGCCTATATATTAGGTTGTCCCGAAAGTTCTGTCGTTTTATTTATGAAAAATCATGACTTTGACTATCTCAACGGATTTACTTTATTATATATTTATTAGAAAGAGTAAGTCTTGCGCTTTTGAACGCTGTTTTGATGAGCTTCAGCTACATTCTGACTGCATAGATTAAAATAGAAAAAGAAGACCATTTAAACTTTGCTTATTTTAACTTATGTCGCCAAAAAATGTGGAAAGCTGTGGAAAAATCTGAAATCGTCAACACATAAATTTTTGACCGATTCTTTGCAACTGTAAAAAATTTGTCTTGTGTCGAGGTCTCTGTGAGAAGTTACGAAATACCAGTTTACTACAGTAAACCCCAAAATTAATGAATTTGACACTTTTTTTTCGAAAATCATAACTTTCTAAAGCGTCCAAACGGGATAATTTTCACAGTAGCAAAGACTAGGTCAAAAAATCTATATATTGAAAATTTCAGATTTTTCTGCAGCGTTCCCGATTTTTGGCGACCTAAGTTGAAATAAGCAAAGTTTATATGGTCTTGTTTTTCTATTTCTATCTCTGCAGTCAGAGTGTAGCAGAAGCTTGTTAAAATAGCATTGAAAACAAAAAACTTATTCTTTCTATCAAAAATATAATGAAGTAAATTCGTAGAGACAGCGCAAAGTTATAATTTTAAAAAATGAAACGACAGAACTTTCGGGACAACCTAATATAAAGATTTCTCCTGGAAAGAACACTGTACAAAGTCTCCAAATTCTTGCAGATATTTGTAGTATAACATTTTGCAAGTTGTCCGAGAAAGGGCACTACAGTTCTTTCCGTTTGTTTGTTCTATGAGCGACGTTTGTTGACTGAGTGGTCACTCGAATTTTTTCTTTTCGATGATTCAGGAACGATTTGGTGACAGACGTCTATGCCTTTTCCAGCTTCCAAAATGAGGTACGTTCTTGACATTTTTGGTTTCCGTTGGCGTCTATGTCTTTGAAATTCAGTATAGAAAGAATTTTTGTATGAAGCTTTACAAGCAATCTTATGAATGATATTATAGGAAAGGCAAGTTTGTACAGTTGTTACTGGAAGAACTTCTGAATGGCAAAAATCCTTGAACATGTTACGGAAAGTTTATAAAATTATTCTGCAACCGGAACAACATCTGCGCGGAAAAATGACCATTTTGCGCACGCTCGGCTTGCGTCCCTTGACCATTTTTTCACGCGCAACTTTTGTTGGCAATGCACTGGTACTGGAATAATCAGTTATTTTTTGTTGTTTCTTTATTCCAAATCTTTTTTAACAATTCGTATTTATAACGTCATATATCGTCAAGTAGAAATAATATCAATTACAAAGCTTAAATCTAAGTTTCAGATGAATTTTTCGGGAGCAAAAAGATATGATCGTTCACTTTTTGTTCCCACCTCCACCATCTTTTCGACTTAAAAAGGGGCGTTTTACACAGCTTTTGCAAAATCTCAAGTGCATCTACTTCATTTTAAATCGAATTTGCGCTTGAGGGCAGTTTTTTGGGCGGGTATCTTCTACGGAGAGAAAAAGGAGCGTGATTTGATTGCACTCTTATATAAGCCAGATGGTGCTTCGTAAAGTTGGGTGGAACTTTTTTGATTTGATTAATTTCTTTTCTCGGAGACTCCTATAATCTTTCCATCAGGATTCTTACTTCAAAGTGGTAGCCCCTGTACATTCCTGCTGTTTTCTCCTTATGAAATATTTTATTTGGATCCTTTGTAAAATCGTATATGAGCAGAGCTACAACCTGTATTTCGCGCTCGTTTCTCGCGACTCAGCGGCAGCGAGCCGCGTCGCCGCAGTGGACGCATTGTCTGCGTTTTCATTTTATAATCGTTTCATAATCAATCAGAAGTAACCAACACTTATTAACTTTGCAGCATTGTCCTGATACGCTGCATAGAATTCACATAAAAGTAGAATTTTTACTCTAGCATTTTTACCAAATTTATGCGCATCCTAAGCTCCTTCAGCCATGCAGTCTCATAGTCTCATCTCTTTGAAGGACTTGTTTATCTGCTGCGGATAGCTTTTGTTGTTTTGACTTCGCAGCCGTCCAAGCCTTTTGTGACAGCTGAATATTCTTCTGTGGGTAGATTTTTTTGATGAAATTTTTTATAGCAAAAAGAGCTGAATCTTGACACTTCTTTGTGAAGAAAAAGAAATATTAGACATATGACTTAAGTTTTAAAGGCCCTCAATCGATTGGCTCCTTGTATCGCTTTGATATGGACTAGATTCAGCTGCTCTTGTTCTGAAAAGTTGAAAGAACAACATTATGCTTTCATTTATCATGGTAAATTATCACCGAATACAGTTGAGCGATTTAACTTTTTTCCAGCTTGATTAAATTTTGCTTTTGATGTAGCCAGGATACTGATGTAAACTAATAAATCTTTAATCAAGTTAAATCACACTCCTACTACGAAACAGTAAAAATCCAGGTTATTCCGACACATTCTGTCAACGGATGGTGTCTATGAAGAAGTCCTCTTGGAAGAGTATCGGTGAAAAGTTTGTTAGGAATCCCAAGTAGGCAATTTCAGATTTCAAAAAAGGAAAAAAAATCTGCACATTTAATAAAAAGCACGGTGAAGACCATATCCTATTTCAGTTGTATGATTTTGTTCATTTTTAACAGTAGAATTGTCCATAATTTTTTGTTTCTTTCTGATATTTTTTCCCGTTTTAAATAAGCACACAAGGCAAGAAAATAATTTCAATCGAAGACTTTTATTTCACCTTTTTGTTAAATTTGAAATCCAAAAAAATCACGTAGTTCTACAAAAACACTAACTCGGCTCTTGAATCTGGTACAACTTATTCCGTAGAAAAATAATTTTTTTGTTCTAATTTTAAAAAAGCATATATGGTAATACTTCTGACCAATGATACCAAACTGTCATGAAGTTTTCTACTTGAGAAAGAGATGTGAGTAAAATCATTCGCACTTTTCTACTACTCACTCTTCATTCGCGTTCCGCGCGCGCGAGAGCGCGCGTCTGGGAATGACAGCGATCTCATGCATCTCCAAGTGTGTCCTTTCTAATTAGCAAAGATTAGCATGGCGTAGCCGCCCTTCCCTGCGATCTCTCGCTTTGCCCCCCCCCCCTCCTCCCACCCCGTCTCGCTCCCCTTCGCGCAGATCTTCTACGGTCATTTCGAGTCTCTCAACACATGGGTGTGTCGCACATCGTCGTCAGTAGCATACGAAAACTCGGCCACCACAACTGCGTCTGTCTTCAGTCCTCCTCCCCCGCCCCCCCCCCCCCCTCCTCACGCCCCTTCCCCCGGTCCGACCACCACTGCCCACACTTCGCTCCAATCCCTAACGCATCGATTGCACGCATCTTTCCGTTTTCACTTTCTTTCTCATTCGACTCGGACATCGTTGATGAGCCACCCGGCCGGCTTTAATGAGCGTCTCCCATGGGGCTTTTTATTGAGGTTCGGATTCGCTGGAGCAAATCTAACCGTTGATCTGGCATATCTGACACATCTGTGGGTTTTGGTTGAGGGGATAGATAGCTATTGAGAGGGGGGGGGGAGAGGAAGGGAGGGTGGGGGGGAGGGGGAGGGTGAAAGTTAAGTTTTTTAAAGGTATGATTGCCTTGCTATGACGTACCGTGGTTTCATTTTTTTCGCAAATGAACCTTGGCCTCGCCTTTAACTTTTCCTGGGGAACTGTTGCCTTTCAAATTTCTTGGGAGTTTATTAACGCCCACTTTTTTGACAGCTCAATCTTTCACCCAGTTTCCCTCTTCCTATGATTTCCCATATCATACATTTTAGGAAGTTCGTTAACAGGCAGTTTTTTGAGGTAAAAAAATTTCAACTTTTCTTCTTTAGTTTTTCTATCTCTTACATTTTCTTAGAGTCGTTAACATCACGATTCTTAGACTCAACTTTAGTTTTTTTATCTCTTACATTTTCTTAGAGTCGTTAACATCAAGATTCTTACAAGGGAAGGATACTTGGTCGAAGTGGCGTTTCCATATGAAATGCATACTATTTTATAGAGCATGCAACGCTGATTCCGAATCTGTCTTCGTTGTCTGCCGAGCGCCTCTGGACGCCGAGTTATGAGCGTTCCTTTGGTTGAAAAATTTAATGCGTAATTAGAGCAAAATTCGTCAGAATTGCTCAAATGGTCCGAAGTTGGTTATCAGAGCACTCCATTACAAAGGATACCTTCTGTCCAAAACACTCATACTACATGTTGCTCTATTTAGGCGCTGAAAAGTCCGTAATAGTTAATTTTACTTGAATTCTGAGTTCATTTTTCGCTCCAAAAAAATTTTATAACTCGACGTCCAGAAGCGCTCGGCAGATAATGAAGGCAGATTCGGAATCAGCGTTCAACGCTCTTCAAAATGGTATATGATCCATTTGGAAAGGCCACTTCGACTGATTCGACCTCCCTTGTTAGAT